GGAACCGGGGGACGAGGGTATAGTTTTTCTGGTATGGCCCTGGCTTTCTAGTGTTGTGTACTTTTGAGAATTTTTAGGTATCTTTGTGGCCATTTTCAAGTGAAACCCTTTTTTATTTGCTTTGTTTAAAGGTTGAACCTCAATTTTGAGGGTTCTCACCCCGTTTCTAGAACTTTGTGAAGGAGGTAAATCGCGGAATGTGTCATAACAGGTTAGGGAACAAGAGTTGTCTGTACACTGCGTTTACAAGGAGTCCAATTTCATGTCTCAATAATCGAACTCTTACACTGCGGCTGCCAGTAAGGCGTGAGATAACCTCACTATTGTCCTTTGCACCACTGGACTATGCCCCGAGAGCTGTTTTGTTTAAATCTGTGCATGGGTGTCTGCCTGTTTCTTTTAGGAAAATTTTATGTCCTTGATCTATAGAATTCATTACAACTCCACCCTCAATTTATAGACTTTACCATGACTTATTATCTAATTTTAAGGATCCAACTGGATGCCCCTATCTGATCATATTGTCCTTTTACTTACCTTAAGAAAAAAGAGGTGTGAAAGTGTGATAGTATAAAAAAAGTATATGATACAGCTAATGGTGGAAGCAAACTTCTTGATTATCAATGCGAATGAAGTGTTGTACTTAGACTCTTCGTAAAATCACATCGTTTTACGGGATGAGCTGATATATTAGTAGGGCTTCTCTTTCGATTCACATAATTTGATTTGCGAATGATAGCTTGTGTATCTTAGTAGAAAGAAGTCGCTAGAGTCTAGTACAAGAATTTTGTGGCGCTTCAAGTCTAGATGTAAATATTAATTATGGAATTTATCAAGTGAAGAACAATGGAGTAACAAAAGATTTAAGATAATTGTAATAAAAAAGTAGTATGAGGGTGGAGTTACAACAAGGTGTACAGGTTGGTAACCAGTGGTGTAAATTTTGGAAAAGAAAACCATTTTTAAAGGGGTAAAAATCGTATGTAGGGCCTTAAGTTCAGGCCAATTTAATTTTAAGATAACAAGTTTAGATTTTCAAAATTATTAAATTCTATTAATTAAATATAAAATTATGTATAAAATAATACCAATCTCTGTCCCGTCCGGCCCATAGTCATCAGCATCTGCTCGTCGCCATCCCTTTTACAGTTGCCGGCAACCACTCTCATAGTCATCAACATCCAAGTAACTTTGTCGGAGGAAGGATAAAATCTATAGAAATTGTCGACGATTGAGCACCTTCTTTAATAGCAAACTAATCGTGCTCAATAATGACTAAGCATTGCCAACTCAAATAAGAGATAGGAAGAAACATAACGATTTTTAAAGAACATTGATTGAACATTGCTGGCAATTGACTATCTTCTTCAGCGACGATTGAGCAATGCTAGTGTAATTTAAATCTATTTTTAAAATTGAAAATTGAAAAAGTCCCTGATATAATTTATAAAGTACTCACCGGATCAAATAACTTCAATTCTCATTTTCAAAATTTGGTTAATTTAATTTGTGACCAATTTGGAGAAATCAATGACATGTGATTAGATCTCTTGAGTTTACTTTGATCTGTTGCACGTGATAACCTATGACCAATTCTCTTGGATCTTGGACCTGTAGATATTGATCTGTTACCTATGAATGGTAACATGTGAACACCTGTAACATATACAATATGACATGTGATCTGTGAACTATAACATGCTACCAACTAATATTGACCTATGAACTATAACCTATGCTCTGTGAACATATGACTTATGTAATATAACCTATGACCAATTAATATTGACATGTAAACTATAACATGTGAACACTCGTGATTTACACAATTTGACCTGTGAACTATAACTTGTGACCAATTAATATTGACCTATGTATATAAATCAGTGATAAATTCCGTTTGATATGTGCTTGTGAACATTGATACGTGACTTGTAACATGTAACATGTTATTAGTTCACATGTCGCAGACTCGCACGTCATTGTGCACAACTCACAAGTAATTGCATCAATATCACAAATTATTTATTTTTTTGGTTACAAATTATTTATTGGTCATAGATTAACCCAATTTATTGGTCACAAATTGTGTTTATACAACCCTAACCCAATCCAAACCCAACAACACAACCACCACTTGATGAATTTTAAAAAATTATAAATCCTAATGACTTTAGTGGATTTGAGTAAATTTTCACAAATTCCATAAAAATCTCATCAAGTATGGTGAAATTTTAAAAGATTTGGTTATATATATTTTTAAGTTTAACATCAATAAAAATATTTTAAAATCCTTTTATTCATAAATTTTTTATAAATCCACTAATTATTCATGATACCTAAATTTTATAGGATTTCATTGAATTTCATTAAAATCTCGATTGGGAACATCTAAATTTCAATGGATTTTATTAAAATTTATTAAAATATTAATTGAAAACGCCTAAATTTAGAAGGATTTTTAAAATTCATCTCAATTTCAATTAAGGACATCTCAATCTAGAACCACTGTCATCATTGCCAACACCATCCCAACACATTGTATCAAAAAACCACCCACAACAAATAAGATATCCAAACAAAACAAATAACAAAAACAAAATAAGAAAACACAAACACCGAACAACTACAATAACTAGAGACTCACCATTATTATGACATCCACATCCACATCAAATCTAAAACCAACATCACCACCTCTACATCAAATTCAAACACATCACCACCAACACACCATCACTGCCTTTTCCCCACTAAATCAACCAATATCAACAACCATAGGCTGAGATTCGCCAACATAGGCAGAGTTAAAATGGAGAAAGAAATAAAAAAACAAATGCAATTGGGGACCGATGGTTGTTTAAGGTGGGAAGAATGGTGACTGGTGGAAGTTTTACTTCTGACCAACGAATGAGGACTTTGTGCAATCAAAAGATGAAGCCAATGGTGGATAGATCCTATAGATGGCAATCTTGGAACAATTGCTATAGGGTGTGGACTTGAAGCAGAGATAATGTGGGTTGGAAACTTGGTGATGGTTTGGTGATTCAATGGGATATCAATGAAATTGATAGGTCATTGAAGTAAAATGCAGCAATGTTTAACGGAGAGGGAGTGGTGGGTGGCGACAGACGATGGGTGAAGGTGGAGAGGGTACGTTTTCAGTGGAAATAGTGGTGGTGACGAATAGAGGGTAAAGATGGAGAGAGCTTGGATTGTGGATATGTGGGTTCAATTGGTGGAGAAATCGATTAAACGATAGGTAGGATGGAGTAAGGTAGGTTGGGGGTATATTATATACTTGATTTTTGAATGAATAAAGATAATTTCTGATTTTTGAATTGGAAACTCAAAAAACAGGGTTTCATGTAATTTCCTCTTTTTATAACATATAGAAGACCAATTGCTCGATTTGTAGAGACATTTTCAAGAAAGCTAAAACGTGAAGAAAAAATTGAGAAATACATTAATGGAGCAAATGAACATGCTTTCTAAAAAAAATTGAGAAACGCATTAATGGAACATATGAACATGCTTTTAATACTATATTCTACTCTATTATCGACATATTACGTTTCGAAGAAATTCAGAAACATCAACGTTAAATACACTTGAGTTGATTCACTCAATCACGTTGAACACAATATAGAAAATGAAGGATTGAAATGAAAGATACTTAATAGTTAAAGAAAGGAAGAGACAAAAAATAAAAAAAAATAAAAAAAAAATCTTTTTTTAAAGATATGTTTATTCAACGATTACCTTTCATTAATGATTTAGCAGATTCTTAATCAGATCTGATACTCCAGAAGTCGTTCAGTTTTTGGCAGATCTTAATATGAAGAATAAAGCTCGTTTGCCCAAATTAATTTGTTTTGTTTTTTTTTTTTTTCTTTTGGATATCCAGGTGTCCCAACTTATACTAGATTAAATCCTGAACCCCCAAGACCCTTGCCCCTAGAACCTTGGAGAGGGTAAATCGTGGGTTATGCCTCAACTGGATCACAGGTTCCCCCCACCGCCTGTACACTCATGCACACAAAAGATCCTCCTCCAAAGTGATTGCTCCATACCAAATAAATCTGACCGCAGGTTCCCACCAGGATTCGAACCTCCACCATGCCGCTGGAAGCAAAACAAATGTTGATTGATTCACCAGTTAAGCTGTGTCCCGGGAGACTCGTTTGCGCAAATTTTTTAACACCTTTGGTTGATCAACCCTCACATTGTGCGTGGATCCCGAGTGAATTAAAAGAAGAAAAATGCTATTTGTACATCAATTTTCACATTCTCTCACAAAGGTGAGATCCACGATAAAAAGACTTGCATGTGCGTGTGCTGTGAAAAAAGGTGTACTTGTAGAATGGTTGTGAAAAAAATGTCAATCCCCTCATGTGTTTGTGTTCAGTCAACCGAGGTGTCATCCTCATGTTCGCACAGCAAAACTCTAATATGAATTGTAATAGTTTTTAAAAGATCCATTGACTTCACTTATACTAAGCCCTTGTTTGAGCCACATTATATTTCTAATAATGCATTTTTGAATAGTGTATTGATGGAAAATGTGTGGTTAAAAAGTAAAAAAAAGTTTTGGATTTACGTCTAATATTATTTTATTGAATAATATGTAGTTGAAATGATGTCAAATAACTATTTAAAAATGTATTTTTTTTTAAAATGTGGTCCAAACGTAGCCTTAGCATATGTTTGACGTAGATTAAAATCAAACTTTTAGTAAATTAATTTAATAATTGATTTTAACTTAAAATTTTAATCAATTTTTTTATCTACAACAAAAATGGACTTAGAATAAACATGATTTTAACCTTTACATTTTATCAATTACTATTTATGTATCTAATTCACGTAATCAAGATCATAAGCATGTGCAAAAGCTCTCTTCTATT